ATTGACGAGTTATCTCGTCTTTTACAAGAAAACGCTTCCCCGCCAAAGACGAGTTTTTACGGCTTCCCGTGTTTTCACTGTTATACACTCGGGGGCGCTATTACGCATCTTCTGAACGAGTACAAAACCTCCCGAACAAAAACACACGTGAACAGGACGGAGAAACGAGCGATCTCTTATGTAAACAGATGCATATGAAAAATAATGCGATCATCAGCAATAGACAGCATATAAATGAAAACTGCATAATGTTACAGATTAAAATGTTGATCCAGGAAGTGGTATATGTCTGTGCAAGCTGTTGATGGAAGCGATTTACTGGATTTATGCTTTGATAATCGTGCTGAATATTATCCAGATGTAGTTTTTGATAAAAATGTGATTTTCTCACCTTTTTGCTCAAAATTATGCATTTTTATGAAACCTACCTATATTCAAGTGTTGATAAAAAAAGAATGCTTTAAGCTAGAATAAAACTGATTTTTTATGTTTAAAGGTAGAGGCTCTGATCTTTATTTTGGTGTATTGCATATTCAAATATTCATACAGCAAAATATTCTGGAGGCCATCAAATTTGAGTGAAAATCATCAAAATCGCTGGCGGTGGCTGGCAACTTTTTGCTGGCGGGGAAAGAGTTAATACAGAATTCAGATGTTGTTCACAGGTGTGAGTACATCGGCTTCAAATCTGGCTCATCCAATCACATTCATATTTCCTCACTTTATGCATGTGGCAGATGTGTTCACAGATCAGTTTATGTATTCCCCAGGAATCAATCGCAGTGCATCCATCACTTACTGCAGCATGTGGGCCACGATGGCAGGCCCGTACCAGTCGCCCGCCCTCTTCCCAGAGGCCCGGCCCAACTCCACCAGCCGGTGCAGGCCGAACGGGGCGGAGGACAGATCACCGAACCAGGACACGGTCCTCCTGTGAGTCCGCTCCTCCTGAGCCTCGCAGTCTAACGTGGTTCCCAGACTGCGTCTGCGAGGTTTTCCCGAGTCACGCCGGCTCTCTCTGAGGGAATCGTCCAGCACCTCCAGGTCATCTTTGGTCTGATGATGGGTCGCAGGCCACGTCCAGCCTGAAGAGAGGAATGGCATGCTTACTTTTGTACATAATATACTTTTCAGCATCATTACTCCAGTCTTCAAGAGTCACATGATCCAGAAATAATTCTAATATGCTGATTTGAATGTGATTTAAATATGAAATTTCAAATAATACTTAAACTATAGCAAAACCATTGTGATACAAAACATAAAGATATGTATTTTACCACATTTATGAGAAATTTTATTTAAAAATATCATTATATGAATTTTTACAAAATTTTTTAAATTTTTAAAGTTTGGTCAGATTAATATTAATTAATCCCATATTAAACCGTGTGTTTTTCAGAATTTGTACACATTTCTTCCGGCTCAAAAATGGTTATATCTCTTTAAAAAAAAAAATTTTGAAAATTAAAAAATAAATAAATAAACATAAATGTTATCTCTTTAAAAAATCTTAAAAATAAATAAATAAATAAAAATAAATGGTTATATCTCTTTTTTTTAATTTTATTAAAAATAAAAAATAAACATTTTAATTAAATGTGTATTTTTCACAGTCTAACCACATTTTTAAAGTTTTTGCCAAACTATTAATTAATTATTATTATTAACTTTTTTTTATAACAAACTTTTAAAATTTCTTCTGGGTCGAAAATGGTTATATCTCTTTTAAAAAAATGTTTTGAAAATTAAAAAATAAATAAACATAAATGGTTATCTCTTTAAAAATCTTATAATAAATAAATAAATACAAATAAACGGTTATATCTCTTTTTAAAAAATGTGTATTTTCACAGTCTAACCACATTTTTAAAGCTTTTGCCAGACTATTAATTAATTATTATTATTACCATTTTTTTTTTTTTTTTTTTTTACAAACTTTTAAAATTTCTTCTGGGTCAAAAATGGTTATATCTTTTGTCCTGATGTACATACATTTTCAATTTTCAATGTTTAGTGAGACCAATATTAATTAATCGCATACTAAAACATATAAAACTTTCTGAACTTTTAGAATGTCTTACAGGTTAAAAATGTCAGAATGTTAAGGATTTTGATCATGCAGTGTGTTTGTACCCGCGGGCATCGTGTGCAGCATTAGTCCGTGAGCTAACAGCATCTGTGCGCTGCGGAGCATGCAGCCCCATCCCGCGTCAGACGTGAGCGCCGAGCCGTCCAGAGGTGGGAAACCTCTCCTGTAGGTCATCCACAGCAGAGAGGAGAACGCCCGCCGAAAACTCTCCCGCTCTCCTGAGAGAAAACACACACTTACAGTGAAACCACGACACTCACATGCAGGCATGACCGTCCTGTCCTGCTTACCGCTGTAGCTCAGCTGATAGGACTGTCCCAGCAGACACACGGGACTGCTCTTACTGAGACGCGGCTTGCCCTTCAGAGACCAGCCTGAGGAGAAACAGAGATGTGTGAGGATGACGGATTCATATTGAGTCAGGCAAGAGAAAAATGTGTGCGGTGGAGCCTGACTTCAAAATCTGGGTTTAGTGAAATGGGTTGTTTAGTGAGAGAGGAAGGTAAAGGTCAACAACGACTAGAAATCTACCAGCTTTTGATATAACAATATAGACTACAGTTTAAGATTTTGGAAGAAATGCATCCTTTAATTCTGCAAGGACACATTAAATTGATCAAAAGTGACAGTAAACACAAAATACAAATTATCACAGTTTACTCAAAAATATGAAGCAGCACAACTAAAAAAAACACACTGAAAAGCATGTTTTTATGAAAACTGCTCCACATGCCTCCATATCTGAGGTTATTCCACGCTGAAATGAGTTTGGTTTTGAGTTTGGCCTTGTCTTTTGACTCCTGGACGTGTCCGTCGACGTCTGCGCTGGGATCCAGCAGGCCCGGGTTCGACAGGTTGACCACCTCAAACGACGCGAGGTCATCTGTGGGCTCCATCCCGCTGTCAAACTCATCACTCACATCCATGACCGGCGGGATACTGTTGCCATGACGTCCAGAGACCCTGCTGTCCAATCAGAGGAGGGATGCGAGCCGCTCTGTCTCTTCTGAACGCTACAGGTGCCGGTGATGCTGTGGGACAGTGACATAAAGGTTAATGTGTCACCAGAGCTCTTTAGAGGGAAATACTGAGCCATGTGACGCACATGTGACTGAAAGAATCTTACAAATGTGTCAAAGCAAATGTTAATGTTCCAAACTCCTATCAAAGATCCTACAATAATACAAGTGTTTAGATAACTATTGTGTGCTTATGCACTAAAATACACATGATTCCGGTGTATGTGCCCTTTAAAGACGTCACTGTGGCACTAACTGGATATTATGGTACTCTTGAGATTTAACCATGGTAACGTTACTCAATGTACATGTCGGCTCAGCGTAGTACTTAACTAAAGAATACTGTGGTGTTACCATGGTAACATGTCCAAATGTAAAATATCTCATTATTATTTGTGAGGATTATAGTGAATTTCAGCTGTGAGAGTGACTTTATAAGTTTGTTATTGACTGAGGTTTGTTGAGTTGATGCGGAAATCATGTTTATTCGCCTTTCGGACAAACAGACGGGTCACATTCAGTCACGAATGCGACTATATTTTTATTATGTGGTAAAAAAAAAACTTACCTTAAAAGCTGTTTTAACTGTCATGTCGTTGTGAATATCGCAGGATTTCAGCTGGAAACTTTCCGCAGTACAAACGTACCGCGACGCCACTGACTGTAACTCCGCCCCTTCCCTCTTTTACTCGGCAACAAAGCTAGTATCTGTCCTCTGATTGGCTGTCTGATTCCTCAGCGCTCTCTGATTGGTCAACTGACTGACTAAGTAGGGGCAGATCTCTGAAAGTCCTGAATGAGTATGGCAAGCTGTTTTAACTTTTACTGTTTGAAACGTACTAGTAACTATTTTCATGCTACTAGTACTTTTTTTTAATAGATATTAGTATCTATTCCATTAGGTACTAGTATTTATTCGTTAGCTGCTAGTGTTTATTCTTTAGGCACCAGTACCTTATTTTATAGTAAAAATACTTGTACTTATTTATTTACTAGTTCTTATTATTAGATTCTAGTACTTATTCATTAGATACTCATACCTATTAAATAGATATAGTACTTATTGATTAGCTTCTAGTACTTATTCCACATGTTGCTAGCAAGATTTTTAATTGAACTATAGTGACCATTCTGACTAGTCATAATATAAGATGAGTAAAGAGCAGTTGTGACTAGTAAGATAAGAAACTTTCACAATCGCATTTTATCACGTTTCAGCGTTTTTCACTGCTCTGTTGTGATTTATGAAATACTTCACTGTACAGTTTTGGTCAATTAACCCTTTCCTGACTCCTTCACCATTCTGATTTGTGAAAACTTTCACAGTAAAGCTTTGGTCAGTTAACCCTTCACTGAGTGCTTAACTTCACTATTCTGATTTGTGAAACCTTTCATAGTATAGTATAGTTTTAGTCCTCCAATTAGATTACCCTAAAACATGGTGACAGATACCAAGTGAACACACACTCACACAGTCAGGCCGTGTCAAAGCTATAATAAATCAATCAATAAACACATAAAACACCCAACTGTAACACAGTCTTTCATCACAGGACCTCTAAAGTTCTGCTCTTGTCACATATAAAGAAATACTATACTGCAGACAGACAAGGGAGAGAGAGATTGACATGGTTCGACTTCAATGTCACTAATGTCAATCAACTCAGAACAATAAAATAAAAACACATGCCAAATATAAGACATTGGTGGAGTTAGCAAATGCAATTTAGCACAAGCAGGCCTGGAGGAAAGATATTGTCTAGACAATAAATTGAAGCACAAATGGTGGGGGGAGGGGTAATGTTGCAATATCAGATTTTATTAAATATTTATAGAAGTATGCATGAAACAGAAAATAAAACATATTGTTATTTGACACTCGCCTTGAAAAGAATCATAGAATGACACAGCCGCTTGTTTTAATTTTCAGTTTTTCAACTTCTTGTTGCAGCTCCTTTATTTCAGCTCCTTTCTGCTCCTGCAGGTGCTGATAGAGTTTTTCCAGTAATTCCTGTTGTTTCTGACGTTCTTCCAGCATCTCACTGAGCTCCTGAACGTGCTGCTCTTTTCTCTCTCTGAAATCATTCAGTTCTTCTGCTTGTTTTCTGGCTTCATCCTCATGTTTCTTCTTTATGACTTTTATTTTCTCTTCATATTCCTTTTTTATTTCGTCTCGCACTTTCTCTTCTCTTTCTTTCCTCTCCTTCTCCTCCTTTTCTCTTCTCTTGATCTCGTCTTCTTGCTCTCGTTTCAGATCATCATGCATTTTCTCCCATCTCTTCCTCTCTTCCTCTCGTCTCTCATCATCTTCTCGTTTTCTTCTCTCCCACTCCTCTTTTCTCTCTCGTTCCAGTCTTTCATAATGTCTGTCCATTTCGGTTTTCTTGTCTTTATATTCTCTCTCCTTTTCTTCTCTCTCTCTTCTCTGTTTCTGTCTCTCCTCCTCGATCTTCTGTCGTTCTTCTTCTCTCTCTCTTTCAAATCTCTTTCTCATTTTCTCCAGTTCTTCTTGTTTTTCTCTCAGTTGTTCCTCGTGTTTCTCTTTTCTCTTTCTTTCCTCTTCCTCGCGTTCTCTCATCTGTCGTTTCTTTTCATCCTCCCATTCTCTCTGCTGTCGTTTAATTTCCTCTTGAATCTCTTTTCTGTCATTTTCAGCCTCTTTTATTTTTCTCACCCATTCTTGTCTCTCTTTCTCTTCTTCCTCATTCCTCCTTTTCTCCACCAAATCTCTCTTTTTTATTTCCTCTTCTTGATTAATCTGTAATTCTGCAATAATGTGTTTTTGCTCATTTTTCATCATTTCTTGATCTTGTCTGTATTTCTCTTCTCTCTCTCTATCTTCTTTTTCTCTTTCTTTTTGCTGTTTTTCATACAGTGATCTCTGGTTTTCAGTCTCTCGCTTCATCTTTTCGATTTTTCTATGATATTCGTCTCTTTGCTGTTTTTCCTCTTCTGATCGTTTCTGGTTTTCAATCTCTCGTTTCTTCTGTTCCGTTTTCTCTTTCTCTTCAAACTCTTTTCTGAGTTTTTCCTCTTTTTCTTTTAGTTGATTCTCCATTTTCATTCTCTCTTCATCTGCTCTCTGTTTCTCCTCCTCGAGTCTCTTCATCAGGTTTTTCTTTTCCAGCTCATATTTGGCTTTTAATGCCTCATTTTGTGCCTCAATCTCTCTTTCTCTTTCTTTCAGTATTTCCTCCATCCTCTTCTTAATGGACATCTCTGCCTCCTCAAACATGCTGTTAGTGAAGTATCGACCGTCATTAGTATTTTTCACCTCTTCTATCATGTTTAATAGTTGAATCACTTGAGTTTTGTCTCGTTTTTCTTTATTATTGAAGACCAGGAATCTGTTTCCACAATCTCTGATCAGTTTCTTGAGTTCAGCACAATTATAATTATTCACATAATCTTGTATGGATTCATCTGCCAGTTCATCTCCTCTAGTGAACAGAACGATGCTGAACTGAGTGGCTTTATGACCAAAGATCTGCTTTATCAGATCCATAGTGTCCATTGACTCTTTGGTGAATCTTCCCAAACTCAACACAATGACGAACACATGAGGTCCAGGTGACGACATTGAAATGCATTTCACTATTTCTTCCACCACTCGATCATTTGACAGTGTCGTGTCGAAGAGACCTGGAGTATCAACAACAGCTACTGATCGACCATCAGTCTGACCAACCCCCTTCTCACAAACTGTCGTCACTGAATCTGGCCTTAATTGGCTGCGAAACTCATTTCTTCCCAGAATAGTGTTTCCTGTTGCACTCTTCCCACTTCCTGTCCTCCCGATCAGCACAATCCTCAAACACTCCTGATCGTCTGCTTCACCTTCAGCACCTGAAAAATTAAGTTGGTGGAATTCATGTATTGATACATATATTGCAGATTCGAGTCTGGTGTTTTTCAGTCAAATCATATGGCAACGTCTCTGATTGTTTTCAGTTTTATTCGCTGGGTAAGAATCAAGTCAGAGGGGATTTTTAGCTTCTGAAATGCTAGTAAAGTTTCTAGAAGTCTGCTGTCATTTTGATAGGTTGATCTGCTACTAAGTTTGGGTGGTCTAAGAAGCATCTGGTTCTGTTCAGGATACAGACTTTTGGAAATAAAATGCAGAAGTTTACACATGGTTATCTAGGATTTCAGTTGGTGTCTATTTTCTGCTGTAAACCTCATTTACAAAATCACTGTGTCCATGGCCAGTGGAGTGTCAGTGGTCACAGTCATCAAATGTTTGAGATGCTTGTCTTTACTGAATCTTTAAAGTGCCTAAGTTAACTTCGGTAACTTCATAAGCCCTCACTGTCCTCTTTTGAAAGTTTATGAAAGGATATATTGGCATTTTGATGGACAGAGATCCGTGGCAGAGTCAATACTGTTGAGATGAGAACTGCTTAGCAAAAGTAATTAGCAAACGTAGATTTCACTACATTTCTTAAGCGTTTCAGAAACATTTGAATATGGATATTTTTCTTACAAAAACGCATCGATTCGCTACAGGAGGCCTTTGTTTGTCCAACTGGCAACCCGGGGTGCCGAAATACAATTGGGTAAACTGGCAGTGGGCGGGTTTCACAAACCAAAACAGAAACCGACATTCCGGCCTGGAACGCACATTTTCAATTAACTGACTGTAGCATTGTTTTTTAGATAAACAAGTATGTTAACTTAGCATGTTTCTTAAATATCTGCAAACATATTATTGTATTTTTATGCTTTAGTAGAGTCAAAAACTTACATACAGCACCTTTAAGAGGACAGCTTATTGATTGAGTCTTGTGCATTAATTGACTCAGAATATGAACAGTTTAGGCCAATTTGATTTACAAGTTCAACTGGCTCACTAAAAAGTACAGATTCAAAAGAATGATTAATTCATGAATTTTTAAGCACAAGATTTAAGAGTGAGATTTGGCTCACTGTAAGTACTGAGGATGGAGATGAATAAATGCTTAAATTTGGGACTTGTGGCTTCTGAATGTTGATTACAGTGGACAAATAAAATGGTTTAGTTTTAAAATCATTTTAAGGTTTTTTTGGGGGGTCAGTTTTTAAGGCAAAACACAGGTTCCACACTGGTCAAACAAATGTATATCTTTAGATGTCTTCAATACATCAATATTGTATGCTTTAGTGTCTTTGTTCACATAAGTGAATATAGATGCACTAGAACAACATTTCATGTAATATATATATATATATATATATATATATATATATATGAATACTGATAGTCAGTTGCATATTCACTGCATGTGGAATTACTTTGTGAACAAATTTCCAATTATTTTTTCTCTTAGATAAGGAAAATGACCATAAATGACAGTAATTACTTTACTCTTACTTCTTACTCACCTTCTAACTGAATTTTCTGCTCCAACTCATTGATTTTACTCTTCATTTCACTCAGTTTTTCCTCTAGTTCATTCCTGACTCTGTTCTCCTGAGCTTTCACATACGTCTGTAGTGAATACAGTTCAGTCTTCATGTTCTCTATATAATCCAGCAGTTCTGGGATCTGTCTTGAGTTTTCAGGTTCATTAAACCCCATCACTCTGTACTGACCTCCACAGCGACTGATTAACCTCTGAGATTCTGTGCTGGATTTGACAAAATCTAACGCAAGTCCTTCAACACTGAGCTCCGATGTGAAAAGCAGCATGAAATGCTGTTTGGAGTCAAAAGTTTTCTGGATCTTCTCTATTTCTGCTTTGTCTTCATCAGTCAGTGGAGCAACAGGAATGACAATGATGAAAACATGAACTCCAGGATCACAGAGAGACACACAGTTGAGAGTCTGACGCATCACTTCCTCCTCTGAGAGCCGACTGAGAGCTGGAAGCTCCACCAGACTGATCAGACGACCGTGAGTCTTCTCCTCTTTCTTCACACACTCTTCACCGCTTGCTTTCTGATCTGGAGGTTTTATCTTCTTCCCTCGTAAAAGTTTGGACACAGAGACTTTAAATGTTGGATTACTTCCACACAGAACCAGGTTCAGCTTCTGTTTTCTAGATGAATTTGCTGACACTGAAAAAAAAAATTAAGAGCTTTGGTATAGCACACTTTCTTAAAGGGATAGTTCACCCAAAAAATAAAATTATGTCATTGATTACTCACCCTCATGTCATTCCAAACCCGTAAGACCTTCGTTCATCTTCAGAACACAAATTAAGATATTTTTGATGAAATCCGAGAGTTTTCGGACCCTGCATAGACCGCAATGCAACTACCACATTCAAGGCCCAGAAAGGTAGTAAGGACATTGATAAAATAGTCCATGTGACATTAGTGGATCAACCATAATTTTACGAAGCTACAAGAATACTTTTTGTGCACAAAGAAAACAAAAATAACGACTTGCGCCTGGTTTTTAAGCACACGCATGCGCCGCTGTACTGTCGTGAACGTGCATCGAACACTGACACAGAAGAGAAGAAATTGTTGAATAAAGTTGTTATTTTAGTTTTCTTTGTGCATAAAAAGTATTCTCGTTGCTTGTAAAAATTAAAGTTGAACCACTGATATCAAGTGGACTATTTTAACAATGTCCTTACAACCTTTCTGGGCCTTGAACGTGGTAGTTGTTTTGCTGTCTATGCAGGATCACAAAGATTTCATCCAAAACATCTTAATTTGTGTTCTGAAGATGAACGAATGTCTTACGGGTTTAGAACAACATCATTTTCCTTTTTGGTTGAACTATCCCTTTAACACTTCTTGTGTTAAGTTATATTGTATGTAGCTTACTATGGTTTAATCAACTTACTGTTGGGACGAATATGAATATATGGATTTTTCTTTCTTAAATTGGCTGGGGGGAAAGTAAACAAGTAAAAATTAAATAAATATCTAAGCAATATAAAACAATGTTCCCACGTGCTGTATCCTGACATTCTGACAACACAAGCGTAAAAGTTAAGGATCAAGTATCTTTTTGTTTTTTGCACTAAAAGCACTATGCTGCATTTATTTTCTGTTCAAAGAGTTAACAATTGTTCCCGTTCCTCTTTTAATCCTTGTCTCCTAGCTCCTTGTCATATGATTCGCTTGAATTCTATAAGTTTGAGTTTAACAAATATTAAAGATGGCAGTTTTAATTCAACTTAAATTTTTGTAACAAATTCTTTTCTTTTTACAACACACTTGACACAGTCAACAGAGTAAAAGTTACACAGTGGTTGGACAAAATAATTTAGGGTTCATGTCATTTGTTTAGCCAGCAGTGAAAAAAATCAACATTGCTTTTATCTTTCCTTTATCTTTTCATTGTCTTTATTCTGTAATTTGTAATTTGACACATTATTTTGTCCAACCCCTGTAAGTACTGATCAGACTGTGCAAGGACTGTTTAATCAGATCGACTAATGTTTAATTGCACACTATATAAACTGAGTTCATTTTCACAGCATTAAAAGAGCAACTCTGAAAACTTACAAAAGAGTCCTCCTTCACCACTTCTTCTTTTCTGTCTCTCTTTGGGTTTTCCATCATTATTGTGGTGAGAGCTCTTCTTGTTTTCTTCCTCTGAATTGAGCTGCTCTTCATCCACAGATGATCCTACAACATCAT